CTGGCAGTCGTGTTTATCCTGCCCCCCTCCACAGGAGTGGGCACATGTCCCAGTCTTCCCCAGTGCAACTCCCTTCCCTCAGCATCTGGGGTTGGGATGGACCTCTCTTCAACAGAGAAAATGGTAGACTTGGCACTTATCAGTAGCTATATTCTTTTGTGTAGACTGTGAAAGAGAGAAAACAAGTCTGCATTAAGAAGAATGAAGTTATGGATAGAAATCAAAAGTGCAAGATGGAGGGTGAGGAGCCACATAATGGCTCCTCTTGTCCATGAGTCCCATCTGAATCCTTACCTATGGTGTTCGTAATTAATGCACCTTTGACTAAGTTGCTGAAACTAGCTTCTGTTGCTTTTAATCAAAAAAGCTCTAATGAGTACAGTTAATATGTGTGAATCACTCTATTGTTCATGTTCAAATAAGTGAGAAACTAATGTTTTCCCAATGAGGAAGACAAAATACTTGCAAAAGAAAGCAATCAGGAAGTTGATCTGAGCTCAGATCCTCCATTTAGAATCCCACAACCACATAGAATCACGGACATTTGTTCTTAAAAGTAACTCACTTCCACTGCTCACTAGCTACACGATATAGGGGATATTCTTTTAACCCTGTGTGCTTAACTATAAAACAGCCATAAAGATTCTGTGAAGGATAGGAATTGAGGCTTCTTCCAACTTTAAAACCTATGTTTATACAACACTTGATAATAATAAAATGAATCTCCCTTGGAATTATTCTTGAAACCACATTCTGCACATCACATGATAGAAAGCTAACCATAAGAAGCACGAACCAGCTGCTTATATGAGTGATAGGTAAAACTGACAATTTTCAAATTGAAATGTCAATTTTGCCTAACTTTTCATAAGACATTTTTGGTTTTGCTTAAAAGCAAATAACCTAAGAAATGAACATACTCAACCCCCCTATTTATTTGAACAAGATTTAACAAATATTTATTCAGAGCCAACTAAATACCTGACACTATGCTAGCTATTGTGCCCTCGAAGATAAGCTGCTCTCTGGGAACTTAGTGCAGTCGGTGGCCAATAAGGGTACACATTAGGGCACCATGATCTGGTTGGTGCTGGATGGGGGTGTATTCAAAGACAAAGCAGGAGTTACAGGCAGATTTTGGGGGCAGGCAGGGGTGCACTGGTAGGTATCATGGAAAAACAGATGAGTTCGGTCAAGTGAGCATAGCAAGGCAGGGGTGGTCTGGGGCAGGAAGAAAAGGTCTGGGGCCCTCTGGCAGTGAGACAGCACATCTAACACATGCGGTTGAGAACCAGGGTCCAGTTCTGTAATGAAATAAAAGCCACTCTTTCCAAAGGTATTCATGGATTGAGACTGATTCAGAAAGAATGAGAAAGATAAAAGTGAGCTTTTAGTACAACTGTGGAAACTCCAGTATTTAAAAAATAGTCACAAAAGATAATAAAAGGATCCAATGCATATTGGAGTGGTGGAATCCCAGAGAAGTAGATATAATGAGTTATAAATGGAGTAGACACATCTTCCCTGGGAGACCGGGTTGATGGAAAGAGTTAGTGATAATAAGTAACATTATGGAGTGATTGCTAAATGCTAGGTGCTTCATGCTTTGCATGCGTTGACTCACTTCACACATCACAGCCCTGTGAAGTAGGTTTCCCGTCAGGACGCTCTCTCCCTCCGTTGCTTACTCCCCTTTCTTGCACTTCTCACCACCTAATACACAATGGATTTTATTTATTTACTGGTACTTTTTACTTGTCACTCTCTGCCTGCTAGAATGCACTCTCCTTAAAGTCAGGGATATGTGTTTGTTTTGTCTGTTTCCCCAACGCTTAGAAAATATAGTAGGAACTCACTAAATATTGGTGAATAAATGAGTGATAGGAACTGAGGTACAGAATGGTTTATAACTTGCCCCAAACCAAACAGCCAGGGAGTGGCAGGACCTGGGAGAAATGGTGTGAACGGCTAAGAGGGCCTTTACTGAAATGGTGATCTCAGAGAGAAGAATAAAAGAACTGAGGGTGGAGAGACTGGAACATCAGCCTAGGAAGAATAGGCTTTAAAAAATCACTGACCCATTTATTCATTCAGCTATTCAGCAAATATTTACTGAGCACCTACTATGTGCTAGGCATTGTTTCAGGTACCAGGGAAATAATGGTGGATGAAGCAGATAGTGTCCTGCCCTCAGAGGGGAGTGGGTGGGAGGCAGACACTAGGAAATAAATGAAGACACAGAATAATTTCAGGGGTGATAAATTCTGGAATGATATTAGAACAGGGTGATGTGACAAAGAGTAACTGGGTGGGGTGCATAGCATCATTAGATGGGGTCCTTGGAGAGGACATCTCTGAGGTGATGATTAAGGTATTCCTGCAATGTGAAGCTTTAGGAGAAAATAAGGCTCAGAATAAAGAAGACAGGGAGGTAGAGGTAGGGGATGGATCTGGAGTGGGGGTTGGTGAATGGACAGAAAGCCAGAAACTGTCAGTGGAAATGGCAGCTCTACATGGGAAGCTGAGTGTTCACAGCCAGGAGGAAGTCCATGGTGATGTGTTGGGCAAAGCCTGGCTAGGACCAGAGCCAAGTAGTTAAAGAAATTTTCCAGAAAACTACATCTGGTTTTGAACCTGGGGCCCAAACCAGAAAAGATCCTGTTTTAGTTGACCAGCTGAGGGGTAGAAACAGAAACGGCCACATGGAAGAACAGAACAGTGGGCAAAGGGCAGGGACCTTTTTATTACAAGAGAATTCAGATCAAGCTTGAAAGTGCCTTGCACTGAATTGTAATGTGTCCCCCACAATCCATGCATGGGTTGTATGTCTGGCTAGAGCTGAGGAGCCATAAGTGATAAAAGTGGCTTCAGAGAACATCTATTACAAATGATACCTCCCTGTGCTGTGGACCAGGCCAGTGATCCCCAATCCTAGCAAACGCATGAGACCCCCACTCATTTGTGTCGAGGATGAGACCAGGAACCTGCATCTGTGATGCAAGTGCTGTCCTGTCAGGCCACACTTTGAGAAATGTGGAAAAGGAGCCACTGTTAGGCTTCAGGAAGCCCGTGAGCCCCTAGGGATGGAATGAAAAGTGTGTGTGTTTGCGTATATGTACATTTCTTTTCCTGGGGAGAAGGTCCATATCATTACAAGATTCTCAACAACTTAAGAACCACTGATCTAGTCCTGCCCCTTGTCTTACAGAATCGGAAACAGAGTCCCAGGAATGTGACTGGCCCAGTCCACACAGCAGGAAGACAGCAGAGATGGGCTGTCTCTTCAGACTTTCTCTTTTCAAGCCTCTCCTTCTCTTCTCCCTCCCCTGCTGGCAGTAAGGGTAGTGGAGAGAAGCAGGAAGGGGGTTAAGCATCTGGGAGCAAAATCATCAAAGGATCTGGCATCAGGTGGGCTAGATCAGTAGAGTGGGGAGTTAGAATGAGGATGCCTAAACAAAGGATGCAGTCACTCACCTGTACTGCCACCCCAGGGCCTGACACCTATGGAATCCTGCCTCCAGCAGGACTTCCAGCCAGGACAGAGGGCATCTGTTCCCTGTTGTTGGATGCACGGTGGTGATGGAGCAGTGCACTTGTGCAGATCTGCCTCGCCACACCTGAGCAGGCGGGTGGTGCCCGGTTTACCCGCCTGCACTCAGTTTCCATTCATCTGTGTCCTCCAGCCAGTCCAGATCATGACATCACTCCTGCAAGTATGTTCAGGTCACACTTCCTCTTGGGTCCTCCTCCTAGTCTGGACCCATATCACTCACCCTAGCTGGCTCCTCACATTTAGAATGTGTTCTGCCCTCTAGTTTAGGACCAAATTCTTCAGACTCTGGCCTTAGCTTCTGGATTCACCAGCCCTGTTCCCTTTACTTTTCTGAATGAAAAACTCACCATCTTGGCCTCTGTCATCTATTCTGTCCTTGCTATTCTGCTCTGGTGACAAGGAACTTCCAGCCCTGGCCCCAGTGGGCCATCCAGCAGGCTGGTGCAACATGCTACTCAAGGGCTGAACAGATTCAGAGTCTGACTTCTCCTGCCAGATAACCACATCAGAAAGCTGGTCTGACACCCTTTCTCTGCCTTCACATGCAAGACTGCGACAGCCCATCCCACAGTCTGGCTGAAAAGACCACAGTTCACTCTGCCCCCTTATCAATGATTGTGACTCTCCCAGTCATCCCAGGTTCTCTCAACCTTGTGTCCCCACTCGTCTTGCCAAGTCCTTTATCATTCCTTTCCTTTTTTCTTCCTCTTCTTTCTACCCTTCCTCCATACTCTAGACCTTCACTGGCCTTCCCTGGTATCTCTTTGCCGGACAGCCATACTGAGGAGTAAAAAGTTGCCTGACTTCTTTGTGTTGACTGATGCCAGATTTGGTGCCAGATTTGTCTTGGAGGCAGCTGTCTAAGAAGGCTGGACAGTCGGCGCAGCCTGCAGAGCATGCTGTAGGCAGAGGAAAGAAGACTGCTCTGTAATTTTCCCAACAGCTTCCTCACATCTGTGGGCGACGGCTTGGACACCTTGCCATTAACAGACAAGGAAGCTCAGGAGACTGGCCCGGGGTCTCGAATTACACCAGTGCAGAGGTGGAAGTGCACCCAGAGCTCTCAGGCTGAAAGCTGTCCACACAGCTGCATGCAGCAGGATCACAGCCCACTGTCTTTTAAAACCTCAAGGAGGGTAGTCACAGTGTGAAAACTTATACTTGACAGTTTCTGCTAAATGGTATCAGACTTTCCTGTTGACTCGTTATCCTGAAAGGAGTTGCAGAGTTAATCCTTGTTGAGGATTAATCATTTTCTCTCTTGCCTATGACTGTTTCTCACGTCCTGCCCCTGGTTTCACTTCTCCCAGGATTTCATTTGAAGGGCGGGACATTCCTCCTACCTCCCCCAACCCCTACTGGAGCCTACAGTCAGGACCAATGAAAACAAAGTATCTCATCCACCCAGTGACTAAGAACTCAGAGTATTTAAGAGGTTGTGGGAATGGGCTGAAAATTAGCTTTTGCCTTCTGTGCCGACAGACACACTCTCTTCTGATTTGGACCATCACTGAGCTGCAGAGTGAAGGGGGAAGAAATAAATCCCCAGACTCCCTGCCACCATGTGCTACGGCAAATGCGCACGATGCATCGGATGTTCTCTGGTGGGGCTCGCCGTTCTCTGCATTGTAGCTAACATTTTGCTTTACTTTCCCAATGGGGAAATAAAGTATGCCTCTGAAAACCACCTCAGCATATACGTATGGTTGTTTTCTGGCATCATAGGAGGGGGCTTGCTGGTAAGTCATTTAAAATTATTACAATCTTAAAAATTCTCTCCTGTTAAATATCATGCTTTCTTGTGATGTCATGGGAAGTTTTCTATAATGCAAAATTCCAAATCCAGTGATTTTTGTTCATTTTTCTTTTGGAAGTAGATTACGCAAAAGTTGAGATAAGCATAGTGTACTGATTTTACTGGATGTTGTTTTTCAAAATCCTCTTTCAACTAAAAGAACTACCTTTTTGCTAAGCTCTCTTAGTTACAACTAGAAACAGATAGTAGTTTTTAAATCAGATTTGAAAGACTGGAGTTTGTAGTCCTAAAGCCGGCAGTCATGGAACATTTTTGCTCTGGGGAGCTGGGAAAAGTCGGGCTGGTTTTCTGTCTAAATCAATAGAATTTGGGATCTAAAATCCCTGCTGTTTGTTCTCAGGCATCTGTGACAGAAAAAAAAATAGTGAATTGTGAGTGCATAGCTATTTAGAAAGAATTATAAATTTTCTCCTTTATGTAATCCTGGGGTGTGGTGTCTAGGAAAAACCCTACAGTGCACAGCAGATCTGTGTGGGTCTGAAGCTAGTAGTGGAATGTGTTGTTTTTTCCAAGGTTTATTTTTAATTGAAGTGAGAGGAATTTGTCTGCCAATTTTGGAGCTGAAAATATTAGCTTTAACCACAGCATGGAAAGAATGTGTACAAACTTGAGTTTGCTACTTTAAAATGCTGGGATTGAGAATCTTAAAGAGAAGTGTTATGGAATTGCTAATACTGGACAAAATAATTTTCTTAGTCAAATAAAGGGTATTAAAACATTTAAACTTTGATCCACTAATTACGGTTTGGTAAATCTGCTTTGAATTTAAACATTACTATCATGTTAATGCAGTCATTTGTCCTTAATATTGCACTTGTTAAAGCTTCTTTTGACCTCAAAATATTTCATACTCTATTTAAAAAGCTTTATCATAGAGCTACAAGCATATAATCCTGTCTGAAAAAAAAAGCACACTTTTATTATACAATGCTTTCATTGATTCCATTTCACAGAAAAAGGTTTCAGTTATTCTTTTAAAGATTGTTGGTATCTTCTATGTTTTACAATGAAAAACAGATTTAAAGACAAGGTTTAATAGTTCCAAAACAGCATTTGCAGCTGGGACTACGTTAGGAGCTCTGGTAGAATAACCACATTCAAAGGTTATTATTTTTAGCCCTCCCAAACCACACCCTCACCCTAAAGAATGATTTGACACATTACAGGAAAACAAGAAGATACTGCATGAAAAAGTTTTTTCCTCTTCACCATTTCACATTATTTGAAATACTTGATCAATTTAACCCAAAGCCGGTCAACAATGTCAGAAACAAATATGTTTTACCAAAGACCCTTAACCTGACCCTTATGAGCTTGGGGAAAGATGATGACTCAGATCTGCTCGTTTTCTCACCAGATATTCCTGCCAGCATTCGTATTCATTGGGCTGGAACATGAAGACTGCTGTGGCTGCTGCGGCAGTGAAAACTGCGGCAAGAGATGTGCGGTAGGTCCTTCCACTCTGATGGTAAGAATGGTTTCCACGTCGCCACTGGGACACTCTGTGGCTCACTCTCCGTGTTTTGGCTCCCGTTAGATGCTGTCTTCTGTACTGGCGGCTCTCATCGGAATCGCAGGCTCTGGCTACTGCATCATCGTGGCAGCCCTGGGCTTAGCAGCAGGACCAATGTGCCTCGATCACAACTCCAACTGGAACTATACCTTTTTGGACACCGAAGGACAGTGAGTAATCGTTCCTCAACAGACCACACATTCTTACCCTCCACAGGTGTATAGTGGCAAACTCATCACACTGCAAAGGCATCATTGATGCATTCATCCATCCACTCAGCCTGGTTTACTGGCACTGACTCAGGCATGGGTTAGGGTGCTGAGGATTCACACTTAGTCCCTGACCTGGAGAAGCTCTAAAACTTTTTAATGAATACACTGATTCAGTCTTCATGATAACCCTACAAGGTGACTGTCACTATTGCTCTCATTTTAAAGAGGAGGAAACACAGACACAGAGAGATGAAGTAGTTACCCAAAGTCACACTGCTAGGACATGCAGTCAGGATTTGAACCCAAGCAATTTGGCTATAGAGTTTGTGTTTATGTATGGTATATACACTATTTCAGAACAGCTGGCTGATTTTATTAAAAAATATGATGGAATCCTTACATGGATGGAAACTATGTGAATTTAATCAAAACCTGAGGAAATCATAGTAACCTCCAACACACACACGCTCACATATAACATAATAACTGTAAGTTGCACCCTTATTTAAAGTGATCAGGCTATATAAGACCAGTCTTGTTCGCAGTTTTAACATCAGGATAATTTAAGATGTTCCATTGTTTTATGTTGACATTTCTTCTCTGTTATTGAGAAAAGAACAAAAACAGCTGATAGAAACTGATATATATTATAACAAATGAATGACATCTTTTTGAATTTTGAAAGGTTTAGAATGCTGGCAAGAATACCTGGTGAGAAAACAGAGTAGAAATAATATGAATAATGAATCTTAATTGCCTTCATATTATGAAGAATGTCCCTCATGAATTGTATCACACAGAGTAAGGTCATAAGGTCAAGTATAAAATTTGGTAAACCTAGGTTTGATCCCAGCTCTGCATTTAGTCTCTAAGTTGGCAGGAAAAAGTAAACTGAGCTGTCTGCATTTCAGTTTCTTCATCTGTAAAATAAAACCACAGGCAGTTATCAATGAAATACTGTAGGTAAACCATGTTACAGAGCTAACACGCTGTGAGCATTGCCACTGTTCTCTGTTACTATCATCTCCTAGCTTCCAATGAATATAGCCCAACCTTAGCCTTTGAAGGAAAATTAGCACTTACGGAGTATAAAATTTTGGTGTTCAAAAATTATGATTTTTTATGCTCAGGACTTACTGAATGTACTAGTAGAAATAAGTTACTCATGTATGCACAGACATACAAAACTAATGCACAAACCCATCTCTAAAAAATAAAGTTATGACTAACATAGCTGGCATGCAAGGAGAGGTGAGAGCCATCACTAAATGTTTTTTATGGCTGTTTGATTCTACTCCCTCCCATGATTCACCTCAGCTTCTACAGGAAATCTTCTACTTCACCATCTCCAGGAATTGCAATAAAGGGAATAACAAATGGTCACTGTCAATGATTAGTTGCTCAATAGCCAAGTGGGCCCAGAGAATTTTTTTTACATTGTGTCCTGAAATTACTGTTTTTTGTTTCAGTGACATGCAAAAAGGCAGGGCCAGGACGACATAATTTTTTGTAATAAACAGATGGAATTTCTGATTGCCTCAATGAACCATTCCAAAGTTAGGTCTCTCATTTCCATCCTCTTTATCTTGCTGTGTTAAGAAGAAGTGATAAGGAAAGAATCATACCAGGCCTCTTTGTGGAATTAACTCAATCCTAGATTTTTCCACAAGATTAAATCTTAGTTCATTAAGGACTAAAATACTCTATGATGTAGCAAAGGTCAAAATTCAAGGAAAGGAATGATACAATTTTTCAGACTGTATGACTATCCAGTTATTTGGAAAATCTTTTAAGATATACATATTCAGTCAGATACAGCCTTCGCATTATTTCTCATAGTGACTTTGGATTTTTATGTAACATTCAATTACTTTAAAAATGTGTTGAGAACCTACTGTGTGTCTAGAGCACAGGTGGCAAACACAAGGCCCGTGGGCCAAATCCAGCCTTTTCCACCTTGTTTTATCCAGCCTGGCACCTTGTTTCTACCTGGCGGCAGTGCTGAGCTCTTGCTTAACTGTTAAGGAGCAGTTACATTTATACAGTCCTAAAATTACATTCAGTCTTTTGAAGGCAACCTCAAGGCAGATGTGACCCCCAGTCTCATCATGAGTTTGACACTCCTGGTCTAGAGGCTGGATATACAATGATAAAAGGTCTAATTTCTACCTTCATGAAGCTCAGACTTGTGGAGAAGCTACATAAGTAGGTTTTCCCTGGCCTACCTTAGGTAACTTTCCTCTGTGGCTCTTTCATATGTGGTATACTGGATTAGTGTACTTGTTGTATTGAGATTGCCTGTTATCTGTTCTCTTAAACTGTGTTTCTCCAGGACAGAGCCCATGCTGTGTTCACTATTGTATCCCCAGCCCTGGCTCAATGTCTCACTCACACTAGGTACTCAATACTGTCTTTTGAATTTATATTTATCACTGCAACAAAATATGGGCTAAATTGTCATTTTGTGGAATGATATGGATTGGAAGAATTTGAGATAGGCCATTGAGTTAATTAATTTTTTTTCTCTAAATAAAAAAACACACAAAAAGTAGCTTATGAGACATCACATCAGATGTGGTTACATGTCAGAAGTTTCCATTCTTATCTACAGATACCTTCTAGATAAAACCACGTGGTCCCAGTGCCTTGAACCCCAGCATGCTGTGGAATGGAATATCTCTTTGTTTTCTATCCTCTTGGCGCTTGGTGGAATTGAATTCATCTTGTGTCTCATTCAAGTAATAAACGGAATGCTTGGAGGCATATGTGGCTACTGCTGTACTCACCATCAGGTAAGAACCTGTGTGAAAAGGTTGTAGCATGTCCCTCCTATATTCAGTTACTATAATGCACCATTGTTTTCACCATAGAGAAAAAGGCAAGATCAAATATTGCTCATCCTATCTGCATTTATTCCTATATCATCTTTGTGGCAAAGCATTTACCACATTCAGTTTTGCTCTTAATAATACATTTCCTTGAATGTCACAGTCACTGAGTTACCTTGGTTCTTTATAGTTGGCTCTGTGAATACAGGAAAATGCCACCCATAGATAAAGTGCCCCCTTTAGGAGCTAACCCACTGCCCCTTTCACTACCTCTGCTCTGGCTGCAGACACAAAGAAATGTCCTCTCTTTGCTTCTCTCATGTTCCCAACTGATTTTGACAAATAATAGCCAACATTCATTGCACCAGGCATTGTGCTAAACCCATATTTCAGATGAGACTATGACTCAGAGGTTAAGCAATATTTCTAAAATCACCTACTCAGGCAGGAAGTAACAGGCTTCACACACTGGGTCATTTTATGTCACAGCACCTGCTCTTAATCTGTATGTAATACTTGCTGTTCTGTTGGGTTTTTTATAATTCCTTCCTAATAAGGAGTCACAAAAAGCCCAAACAGCTAAGCATAGAAAATCACTAGTAGCCTTTCCATAGCCTTTCACTGTGAAAGAAAACCAGGAAGCACTTGTTTCCTGGCGATATGATTTTGAAGAGAAATATGTATTTGTTAGTAGTGGGGAAAGCCCTTGTTTCTATAACCCCCTCAGAAATCATATATTATTGAATTGATGGAAGTTTAGCATTGGTCCAGTTTTAGGGAGGGTGTTATTTTATGCTTTCTTCTATAAAACAGGATTAGGTAAACAGAAATTTATTTAACTGATATTTTCCTAACCATTTATTTTTCTGGTTCAAGGTCTCATAACTTTTAAAATAAGACAAAACCCAATGAACACTAAAAGCCCATTGTTACCACAGAAAACTTTGCTGTAAATAAAAGGAAACTTTCTATAATTTTTGAGGGGAAATTAAAATAAAAATCTAGTTTTCCTTATCAGGCAAATACAGCAAGATTAATAATTTCTTTGGGAGCTCTCCAAATTCCCAAGAAAACAAAAGAGTGGGAAACCTTTGACATGGAGTTGTTTCCTAGCAACGTGGTTTGGGGGAGTCAGGGAATAATCCTCTCAGGATCACTACAGTTTAACCTATCTTTAGCTTTGAGCTTCATCTAAGGCAAAGTTTAAATTTGGCAAGGCCCCACTGGACTTCAGCTCTCGTACATTTTGGGGACAGGCATAATATGTCAATGACCAAAGTCACTGTAGTGGTTTAGCAGAGTGACACCCTCTCCTGGGAGGGAGCAAATAGTCCCACTGGGTTTACCATCTGAATCACAGTAGGCTTCTTTCCAAAGACTGCACAGCAGATCTGTTTACCTTTGTTACAAGACAAAAGTGACTTTCAAAGGGCAGGGTTTTCGGTGTAGATGAGTCAAGTTTGTAACTCAGTAGCATTTAATTGGAAAGGTTACCACATTGAGCCCACTCCCATGTGCAAGTCCCATGGCATTATCTCTGAAATCCTCGAGATTAAAAACCTGCCCCAAACATGCTCAATGCCAACTCAGCACTGGTAAGCTACAGTTTCCATGGCCCCTTTCTGCAGCTTTTGCTCAGAGAGGACAACAGGTCTGTCTGGTTTGTTTAGGAAACATTTTGGAAGCATTGTCTAAGCTCTCAGTATTGTTGACCAAAGCTCTGCTGAAGTTGAGATCAGTCTGCTTTATGTTTGTGTAAAACAGGAGTTTAAAAGACTGAAATGACACCATTGTTTGTTTAGCCAGATCGTAACCTTATGCATATTTCATTTTCTTTACAGCAATACGACTGTTAAAAGAACCACTTCAAGACAGAACCACAATCTTCATTTCATTGTAATTTATATATTTTACTTGTATTAATTTGTAAAACTTTGTATTAGTGTATCATATTTCTTATATTCTACTTTTAAAAGTGTACGTAGAGACTGGCATCTTCATGTGATGTCAGTGTTTACACATAGCAAACAAACATTTTTTTTAAGGAATGAGAAAATAAAATGTGCACTGGAGGTAATTTACAGATTGAGTGACTATCCTCAACATATCTGAGATAACTTTGCCTTGAAGTAATATTTTTGACAAACATTACACATCCCAATTATTATTGAATATATATGCGAATGTTTACTCAGTGATAGATTTCTAGTTGCTTTTTTTAAGACCGTGAAGGAGAAAGTCCAACAACTTGACAAGATGTTTTTTCACTGTTTATATGGTGTTTCCCATGTATATACCTGCAGGTCTCTAACACAGGCCTCTTTGAACTGTTTTGGTTTCCGGGAGAGATAGCTCCTCGCCCAGAGTGGGAGGACTGACTGATGATGCTCCAAACCAACTGAACAAGTCAAAACGTGCAATGCTGCTAGTTGCTGCAAGCATTATCAGATCCTAAATTTTCCTAATATGTGGAAAGCTTTTTGTTCTTCAATGACAAGTACTGAGGGTCATATATTTAAGAAGAGAAAGGCCTGGGTAATTGGACAGAAAGAAAGATGGGAGACGGAATACAGCAGTTGATCAGCATCATAAGAAAATGGGGCAAGAGGGAGATGGGGTAGGAGGACCACAAGGAAATACCCCAAACTTGCTTGATTAAATACAACCAAATAAAGTATTCTCTACCATTTTTTCTTGCTTAGTTTCTTTGTCTTTTGTTTAAAGTTTCTCCTTTTTTCTTCCCCTGCTTTTCCCCCCAGGTTGTGAAACCCCTATTGCCAGGGGCTTTGCTTCCTGGGTCCTTTATCCCACTTTCTCTCCCTCCTCTCCTACCTTCTTCTGGTATCCAGGCATTGTCCTTGCTATGCCATGTCTTGTGGTCTTCTCCCCATTTAGGCAACCTTCCTTTCTGTGGGGTGCTGCAGGCATCAAGCTCCTGAAGGGAAGGAGTAACAGACATTTTTCTCTCAATATTTTATGTCAGTTGTAGAGAGTTAGGCTCTTTCAAGTGAGAGGATCCCCTGATCTATTTATTGGGAATTCTCTTCAGAAATTTTCTGATTTCAATACTCTCTGATGATGTAGCAAAGCTGTAATGACCACTATAACAAGAAGGTATCTTAAGACCAACAAATGAAACAGAATAGAATGTAACAGAATTTATGACAGGGTAATTTACTTACAGGAAATTAAGTTTGAGTCAGAGCAGAGCAGATGACCCAACAATTCTGCACAGATTATTTTCTGCTGCAGACTCTGGTAACTGTACTTTTTAAAACAGTATAACAAGTGCTAGTAATTGACAAGACAGGGGGACAGAGAAAGCAGTAGCGCCAGGATCCATGCCTCCCAACAGTCTGGCAATAAATTAAGTTTTGTAATCAATACCATCACCAGTTTGATATTTATCTCTAGTTGTCATCCTTCCTAACAAAAATATTTATGGCTACATTTTAAGGTACACAGATGATCATCAACTAGAAATCTTTGATATGCTTGCCAAGAACAGTGAGTGAGTTTGGTCAGAGGTCACAGTGTGAAACAAAAACTGAAATGAGCCCTGGCCAGAAGGCTCACTGGAGCACTGTCTCTTACACCAAAAGGTTGCAGGTCTGATTCCCAGTCAGGGCACATACCTAGGTCGCCCAGTTCGAATGCTTGTCACAAAGCATAAGAGAAGCAATTGATTGATGTTTCTCTCTCACATCGATGTTATCTCTCTCCCCCTTTCTCTTGTTCTAAAATCAATAAACATATACTTGGGAGGGGATTTTGAAAAATGAAATGATATCCAGGGCACAGAGATGGGGTTGGTCTACATCTACACAGGTGTTTATTTGCCTAGCCACAGACAACGGTTAATAAAGAAGCTCCACTGGCTGTTGGACAGCAGGGCTCCCACTGCCTGTGAAGCTACCACCAGTGGTTTCCTGATTGAAGGGCTCTGTCTTTTTCATGCCTCTGTCCCTCTGGCAGTATGATGAAGCCTGCAGACTGCTTTGAAGCATACTGTTTAAAAGTGAATACAAGAAAGTACGTAAGATTACAAAGTAAATCAATGTACTGAAATATTTTATCAAAATATGTTTGAAAATTATAATATAGTTACCTTGATGGCCAGCTCTAGCACATCAATATCTGTGGAAAGGAAAACAGTGATCACATGTGATCTAGCAGTGGTCTAATGAGTGGGACTATGAACTACTATATTTTTTAAAACACAATTCCAATTGAAATGAAATTTTGAGATACCTGCAAGAATTTTATTGTGATATGAAAATAATATGTAATTTTGTATTGCTGATCAAAGCATGATCAGTATTGCTGCTACCACTCTGAATTGTTGCATGCAACCATAATAAAGGAAATACTAAGTGTTCATTACAGATTAATAAAAATAATGACATTTTTTTCCCCATCCAAGTTTATACTTTTTCTCACAGGTATCTATCCATGGGCCTCTTGGGAGTTCTTAGGCCAAGTTAAGAACCTGTGCAATAGAGGATCCAAAGAAAAAGGCATAATGATCCAGTATAATTGTCTTATTTTCCTAAATGTATCCTCAAAGGAAATGGCAGTAATAATTATTAACCATGTCAGGTTATGGTACTTAGCTTCTATACATATTATTTTACTGAAATCCTTCAACAGCCCTAGAAGATGGTTCTTGTCTCTATTTTGTAGTCAAAGCTCAGAGAGGCTAAGAAATCTGCCCAAGACCATGTCTTCTGCAAGTGATAAAACTATGATTCTAATCCAGGTCTAACTGAAAACCCAGGCTTTTCAGCTCCTCTCATTGGCACTTCTACCTCTGCCGCCCAGCCCAGGTGCTGGGATTCTACCTCCTCCAGTACACCCTCAGCCTCCCCACTCGCCTAAGGGGACTTACTTGGACAAGCCCCTCTGGCACTCAGTCATCCCCATCCCAGACCCCTGTCTGAGTGATTCCTTCTTCCCTGTAAATTCTTTAGTGACAGACACTGCCACTGCCCAGAGGAAATAACTTATCCACATTAAAGCCTTCTTTTTATATATATTTATGGCTTACACTCTGAATCTGTAATATTCTAAACCCCTCAATTTGGCTGGAAATTCCCTCAGGGATAGTAAAACAGATTGTTATCACCTGGCAGCATAAAACTAATAAAAATGCTGTAGAATCTGAATCACTTGAGTAGTACCCATGGCCACAAGGTTAAATACTTCAACTTAAGGGTCATAGAGAATAGTAACCAAATTTACCATGGTGACCAAATTTACAAATAACTGCCTGCATAAAGGAAGTCTCTTGAACTGAAATCTAAGAAAACTGATGGGATATTACCTTCATTACAATTTGTTTCTTAGATGTGTATGAGAACACTGATTACGTTCCCTCTTATGCTTACCCTCTGTGGTATGGAATCAGGTATGGAATTTGATGCAACTTCTTAGACAATCTATAAAGTCTGCAGATCTTTTAATATAGTATTTTGACTTTTAGAAATTACTTTAAAGAGAATCATCAAGGATACTCAGTTTCCAGGAATAATTTTGGGAGTATTGTTTATAACAAGAAAAATGACAACCCAAAAATCCAACAAAGAACTAGTTTGATAAAATGTTGTCAGCACAATAAAATTATATTTGTATTTAATATGTATAAAGTAAAATGTAATTTTAATCAGATTCTCGGTGATTTTTGTCTTGGTTTGTTTATCTATACTTATTAAAGTTTCTATAATAAACACATTACTTTTGGAAAGAACATAAAAATTACAAAAGATTTAGTTCTAAAATCCTTCAGGGAGCAGTCCACAGTCTTTAAAGGAAGTGTCCCAAATGTATGAGAAACCATTGTTCTTACTAGCGAACAGAGGATTCATTCTACAGTCAACAGTGGAGAGTAAATGAGCTAGTGATCAGGTGGAGGGTGGGCCCGGTGGGGCAGGAAGTAACCACCAGCTAAAACATTATTAAGAGGAGGTCGTTATTCCCACTCTGTGTTGGGAAATGTAAGTTCATGGCATCTACTTAGTTTGAGATACTAAACAAGATTTTTTAAAATATCAACTACCTCATCTGTTTTTCTTTTTAAAAATGAATTAAAGTAACAAAATTCCTTTAATTTAAGCATTGGCCTTTTATCAAAGCTTTTTGTACCTGAATTTTTCTCATTTTACATTTCTGAAATGAAGGGAAGGTTAACAACAGAATGGGTTTATAGGACTTGGCCCAGCCTGGGTGTGTGAAGATTATCCAATGTGTTTTAACAAGTACAGAAACTGAGTCACTCACCCTAGGCTCGTACACATTGTTCCTCCTTCCCTTTAACATGAAATAACGTAGATACGTATTTTAATTACTGCAGTTAAAGAAGATTGTTAAGCCTTTTTGGAGGTGAATTTCATGTTAACTCCTGTAATCAATCAATTCTCTCTCTCTCTCTCTCTCTCTCTCACACACACACACACACACACACACACACACACTCTTTCCAACTATACAGCAATTATAAAGAACAAACTATTACTACATGAGACCATTTGGGTGAAGCTTACAAATAATGAGAATGGAAACCATCTGCACTGTCCCTTCTCACAATTTTGACAGAATTCTAAATGTAATCTCAACTAATGTAGCTAAATCCTTAAAAGAGAGAAAGGGGTGGTAAACCTTCTTATGAAATATTTCACACACTGTTTTTTTTAATAGGAGCAATATATAATAGTTCCCCGAGAGGGGCAGTGTCTAGGGTTCTAGATGCACAAGTCCCATCCTGCCAGTGGAAAGAAGACTCTGTGTCAAGTATGCCACTTGCTAATTTGCACCACACCCTTCTCTGTCACATGTGCACAGATATCACTGATTCATGTGCAGGGCTCACGTGCAACAGCCACTCTCATCTCAGATGAAGACAATGCCTGGAAGGGTCTGAAAACAAAACCAAGATAGACAAGTTGTGATCTCTCTGAATACCTAACTCTATATTGTTTAAGACAAGCCCTTGACTAAAGCAAGGTTCCGAAACTAGAGTCAGCTCTCTTTTTTTCAAAGATTTTATTTATTTATTTTTAGAGAGAGGGGAAAGGAAAGAGGAAGAGAGGGAGATAAACATCAATGTGTCATTGCCTCTCACGTGCCCCCTACTGGGGACCTGGCCCACAACCCAGCCTTGTGCCCTGACTCGAACCAGTGACCCTTTGGTTCACAGGCCAGCATTTGATCCACTGAGCCACACCAGCCAAGGCTATAGTCAGCTCTTCTGATCATCTCTGACGCGCATTAAATCTTTAACCTTAAATTTTTGAAAACTTTTATTTAAATCATTGTTTACCTCAATAACATGCACAAAAAATGTACAGCTCAGTAAATTTTATATGTTTACACCCATGTAACCATCATCTAAATCAAGATATGGGACATTTCTAGCACCCAGAAAACTCTCAACCTCTCCCATCAATATGCACCTCACCACTATACATACACTGGGAAAATATGGTTCTGATTTCTATCATCATCATTTCATTTTGCCTGTTCTTGAACTTTATATAAATTGATTCATAAAATATGTTCTTTTTTGTGTCTGTTTTTTCTCTCTAAACATTTCTCAATAAACATTATTCTGGCTCCCAAAATATCACCAGAATGATCTGTTCATAAGAGAAAGCTGTGTATTGTTTACTGTCATCAAGGAGGTCGCCACCTTGA